AAATCATTCACAGTGCACCTTGAATTGAATAATAAATGATAATTCATTTTTTATTGGTTTTTTTTCGGGGTGCAAAATAACAAATTAAAATTTTATTTTCTTCAATATCCAACCTAATTTCGAGTGCACAAAGTGCTAAAAAATAAAAACCACACCGGATAATTGGAAAAAAAAATATTTTCTTACAAAATAAAATCAAATAAAATTTTATCACTAAATTATTTAATTGATAGATCTTTTATTGTAATTGGTGGAAATATTAGGTATAAATATTTGGAAGAAAATATGATTTTCAGATAACTTAATAACGAAATAGCTGAATGATTTTTTTTAGTAAAATATATTTTTTGTGATAAAAAATATAATTTTTAAATACCACTAAAAATATTAAATTACCTTTATTAGCTTTAAAAACTCACCTGAGGTGCATTATGTATGATATATTGTATTTCGAGGTGTAAAATGCCAAAGGGGTTATTTTGTAAATCCCCTCATTTCTAAATTATATAGAACTAACTACCAAGTGGATTACACTCTAGGGGAAACCCCCCTTATTTCGAAAATATTTTGACATACCCCCTTGGGCTACCCTGAAGTTCCTATAATACCCTTCTAAAATCAGTTTTAACCCTAGCCACTCACGATCTCTCTCTTCTTCTCCCAGATTCAAAATCCCGCCTCCACAAACCTCACACCGGCGAAATTGCTTCCCGGAGCCATAACTCTCTCTCCGGTGGTCGGAATTCGATGGTTTAACTACCGTTGGATTCCTCTCGTCGAGCTCTTTCTTTTCGTGGTTTCATTCAGTTTCGAGCGCTGATCTGTTTCTGCAATTTTTTTTTCATTCGAGGACGGTGGTCTTGCCGGAGCTTTATTTTGTGTTCCACCCGTCGAAATTTGACGGGTCACTCACCATTGGATTCCTCTCGTCGGGATCTATATTTTGATGGTAATTTCGTTTATTTTTAGGTTTTCAGATTTATTTCTATATTATTTCGCATTTGTGGGCGCGCGGAACCGTGGGTGGTTATTAGCGTGTAGGGTTTTGGTAGGAGGCGAGTGGGGTGAGGAGTCACTTTCTGTTTCATTTAAAATCTGTAGCATTTCCCAGCAATAGCCTCTCTCTCTATCTCTCGATCTCTTAGTGTTTGTTGATTTTTGAGTGTTTTGATGTTTTTCTTCAAATTTTGTTGATTTGCACTAAAGTAATTTCTTTTTGTTTTTGATTTCGCAACTACAGCTTAATGAAGGCCATTGATCCTTTCCTTGAAGGTGTCAAATTTTTTTTTTTTGAAGTTACATCTGATTTGTTCAACAGACTGTATACATTACTGTACATTACTATACATTACTATAGTAACAAATAGTTACATATGCGTATATTTGTGTATTTTCGATTTGTATTTTATTGGTTCTGATGTGATTTATAATAAAAAAAAAAATTAATTTGTAAATTGTTGTTGGGGTTTTATGAATTTATTTTGTATACGGCAGTATTCGTGTGTGTATACAATTGATCGACTAAAAATATGGGGAAAAAAAACAAACATAACTATGAATTACTATAGGTACTATAGTTACATATAGTTATTTTCAGTACTGTAAACATATTGTTTTGAAAATTAAAAAAGAAAAATAAAAACAAATTAATTTTTTTTTAATTTTAAAAAGAAAATTAAAAAATTAAAAAAATAAATATTATATATATATATATATTTAACAAACAGGTTTATAAAAAATAATAATAATAAATAAATCAGCGAAAATGATAAATGCAGGACCATAAATGCTGAATGTAGTTTGGCCGAAAATTGCATATAAGGATAGTATAGTACTTTCGCTTCTCCAGAGGGGTATGTCAAAGGATGATTTGGACTTGGGTTTATCCCTAGTTTATTTGGTGGCTAGGGGGTATGTAAAATAACCCCAATGCCAAAATAGTATATTTCAATGGTGCAAAGTGAGACTGACCCGTTAAACCTCTATAAATTGATACCGTCGAAACTAACAGAAAAATTATTAATTAGCGAAATATTAAATTGTTGAACTAATGATTTAGTGCGTTTTGCTGCATCGGGACCGGAAGAAATTATCAATCATGCGAGATTATTAATTTATAGAGGTTTTACTGTAGAGTTTCAAATTCACCTATTTGAATATGGGTGGTAAACGAGCCGAACCAACTTGTGAGCTCGATGAGCCGGCTCGAAAAAAGCTCGAACTCGGACTTGAGTTTTTCGAGCTCGAGCTCGAGCTCGCGAGCTCAAACTTTCTGACGAGTCGAGCTCGATAGATTTTTGTTGTTCTTGAGCTCACGAGCCGGCTCGCGAGCCTTATTTACTATTTGTATTTTTTTATATATTATTTTTTATTTAAATAATATATAATAATATACAATTTTATAGAAATAAATAAAAATAAAATATAAATATTAAAAAATATATATAATTACAATTTATTGTTTATTTTGTATTTGTTTAAAATATTTTTAACAATAATAAAATAATAATTAAAAATATTTAAAAGAAAAAAAAACAACAAAATGAGTTTGGGCTCGAGCTCGACAAAATGGACACGAGCTCGAGCTTGAGCCAAAAAACAAAGAACTCGACGAGCTCGAACTCTACAAAATAGACTCGAGCTCGAGCTCGAGCCTGCCAAAAGAGGCGAGCTCGGCTCGTTCACACCCCTAATTTGAATTAAAAAAAAATAGAAGTTGAAATTTTATTATTCATTATTAACCTAATTGTTTTGAGTTTTTGCTTTTCTTTTTTTGGAGGGGAGGGGGGGGGGGGGGGGGGTGGAGGTCAGAATTATTCATTCAATTAAAAATAAAATTGAAAATGTAATTTAAGTTATTTGTTGGATTCGCTAGGTGGTCCATGGTGGAATAAAAAACAGTGGTACATGAAGAAAAATGAAGTGGGGAGAATGTGACTTAATGAATCAGCTTTTGGCCCAAACGGGATAAAATTTAATTTTTTATCTACGCAAACTGTCAAACCAACCAGCACGTCAAATATCAAAGAAAATAGGGTAAATTACAAACACCCCCCTGAGGTATGACAAAATTACAAAAACACCCCTCTTGTTTGGATAATTACAACCACCCCCCTCAACTCATCAAATTTAGTGGAATCTTCGAGATTATATGGAATATTATCACTTTTGTACCCGTTTTATCCCATTCAAACTCTACATTATGAAGCAAGATGACCATAATATGTGATTTTTAGCTTGTATATATCAGTTTGTGGTGCATTGAAAACTGTATTTTTTACACAAAGAGTACAAACTAGAGCACATTTCACGGAATCTAGATGACTATGTTGAATTTGGCACCATAAAGGTAAGAAAAAATCATAGTTGAGGGGGGTAGATGTAATTATCCAAACAAGAGGGGGTTTTTTGTAATTTAACCATACCTCAGGGGGGTGTTTGTAATTTACCCAAGAAAATAATGTGTGCTTTCTTGTTTTTCTCAAAAAGATAATTAAGATAATAAAATAAAATAAAATAAAATAAAGAATAAGAGAAATACAGGAAAGGAAGAAAAAAATGTAAATTAAGCCATAATCACTGGCGGCATCAGGGGCATGCTAGCGGGCCGGGCTGGGTCCGGGCCCCACGCCCAATTATTACTAAAATATTGATATACAATTTTCGTAATGACGGAACACTCGCCAACTATATAGATGAATTGAGGTAATTTTCGTGCAATAATTAACATAACTCACTTGACCTGCGTTGTTTGATTTCTAATGTTGATGATTTTAAACATTCTACTTGTGGCCATAGTATATGAGAAAATTGTCTAAATTTCCTTAAAAATATTTTTTATAGCCAATTAACAGTCCATTCGTATATTTTGGATTTGCTAACAGACAGTTTAGTTGTATAGTTTAGCCTGCAAATAAACAGTATAGACTGAAAACAGACAACGTAGTTGGAGAGTTTAAACTTAAAATTGACAGCTTAGTTCAAAAATTTAGATTGTAAATGGACATCTTAGATGAAAATATTTTTTTGCAATGATGTTGTGGCGAAAATTAGGCGGTCTAAAGCGTGGGACTACCAGGGAGTGGCATAATAGTGTAAGAAATGCCATTTTTTTTAGAGTGGGATGTGGTTTTGAGGACGAATGAATTGAAGGATAATAAAGTGTTTTCAGTTTAAAATTAAATCAATAATTATTTACTTATTTCGTATTGTTTCTTACAAGTACTCTTATGTCGACGAGACTGTTCTCGAGCCTCTGTAAACTTTCGACACATTATCTAAAATTCTCAATCCACATCCGTATCCGTATATTTCTGGTTCCGCCCCTTACTATACTACTAGTATTTATAAATTATAATATTGAGAGTGAGCACATGAGACCACTATTTAGTGTTGCACCCCCATACTGGCCCTAATAAAATTTAATTTTTATTATTTAGATTCTTGGAAGCAAGTGAAAGTTTCTCCCATCCTTCATGCAATCAGAAGAATCTAACATGCAAGACAACCAAACAAAATAAAATCTAATTATTTTTACATTTAAGTAAGAGAATATGTGAGAGTGAACATGACATTGTAAGCAATAATTCAAGAAAACACTATTCAACAATCATATTATTATTATTTCAATAATCATATTGATGCAGACCTATATATATTATTTTCCCTACATTTAAATATTAGTTTTGTTTCACAATAATAATACAAATCTTCCTAGTATTTGCTAGGAGCCAATTTTTGTCTCAATAAATTACACATTATTTAATATAATTAATCCACAATAACTAAATCACTCACTATTAGGGACATATTTTAGTAGGTTCTCTATCCTACATTATTGGGTGTTGAAAAAAGAAAAAAAGAAATATTATTTTCCTGCAAATGAAACTCACCCAAATCACTAGCAAATGTAGGTTGTCAACTTCAACCCTACTTCATTTTATTTATAGCAAGGACCACTTTAACTAGAATTTATTTATTGTAACAAAGTAACCAAAAGTCATATAAACATTGACTAAACTCTTTATAAATCACAAGAAATGTGTAAAACACACTACGCAAACCAAGTGCAACGAGCTCGACCTAGAAATTATTGGCGGACGGAATAAAAAACACAAATGCATTCACAAAACTAAATTAGCAATCAAATAAGAAAGAAGATAATAAACATCAATGGATAAAACTAGACATTTTAGCCACAAATAAGAAGACAACATCTCATAAGTTCCAAAACTACCCCAAAAAGAAATCGAAATAACGAAAGACTATACTGCAATCTGTTCAAGATCCTTGAGTAGCCCGACAACTTGCTGCATACTCGGCCGCTTCGAAGGAATCTCAGCCGTACAAAGATACCCAATCTTCAAACCCTCGACAATTTGTCCGTCGGGCCCACTCCCTCGAATCTTCGGATCAATAGCTCGAAACCCTTCGTTTTTTCGCACTAACCCTCTCACCCAACTGACCAAATTATTATTATTATTATTGTCCTCTTCCGAATAATAATCATCTCCAACGGGTTTTTTGCCCGTTATAAGCTCGAAAAGAACCACCCCAAATCCGTACACGTCCGACTTCGGAGTCAAACTCTTCACGCTTTCTTGGTCAACAAGAAACTCCGGCGCCACATACCCGCTCGCAATCGCTTCTTCTTCAACCCCGTTCCCGAATATCTTAGCCAACCCAAAATCAGACAACCTAGGGTCAAGATTCGAATCGAGATAAACGCTACTCGCTTTCACATCTCTATGTATAATTGGAGGCGAACAACCGTGGTGGAGAAACGCGAGCGCTCGTGCACATCCGAGCGCTATTTGTTGCCTAAATCTCCAACTTGTAAGAGAGCCTTCGGGGCCCACATTTTGAATCCCGTTATTGTTTTCGTCCTGCCAGGTGTCGTTGCTCCAGTCTTCCGTTGTTTGAACGCCAAGTGGCAGATCGTGGAGCAAGTTCTGCAGGTTCCCGTTGTCCATGTACTCGTAGATCGCGATTCTTTGTTCGCCAGCTAGGCAGTAACCCGTTAAGGGGACAAGGTTAGGGTGTTTGATTCGTCCGAGGTACTCGAACTCTCTCGCCGCTTCCTCGTCCGTCATAACCGAACCGTGGACCAAAACCTTGACCGCCACGTGGATTCCACCCGGCATTAATCCGCCATAAACCGGACCGAAACGCCCCTCGGCAAGCAATGTAGCTTGATCAAAGTTCGAAGTGGCGGATAAAAGATCGGCGAATGTGAAATTTAGCAACGGCTTTTCGAAGATTATTACGGGGACTGATGTTGCTTGTTTTACATCGGCTACCCACGTCGTCGAATCTGTCTGAAAAGAAAACGGTCCGGAGATTGTTTGCTCTTCGTTGTTGTTGGTTTGAGAAGAACTCTGTTTTTTCTTCACGGCCCACATTCTCGTTTTTCGTCGGCATTTGAAGGCTAAAACGAGCAGCCCTACTAGTAAGAAAACCATCGAGAGTGTTAGTGCTATAGCGATTTTCAGTCCTCTGCGGTTTGGGGTTTTTTTCCTGAATAAATCAGGATTTGCTGCTATCGGGCAGCTGTTGACCGATCCGACAAAAGACGATTCGAGGGTTTCGGCGGTGAAGTGGGACCCGCAGAAGCTTAGGTTATTGTACGAGAAATTGAACCTATCCATCAACCGTAGCTCTTCTACTAGCAACAACGGGATTTCTCCAGTTAAATTGTTGTAAGAAAGATCAAGAATTCTGAGTTTCTTGGTAGCAAACGGAGGTATATGGTCGCTGAGGTTGTTCTTCGATAAATCGAGTGTTTGTAAACTGGTTAAACGCGAGACATTTGTCGGTATTGGACCGAATAAATTGGTTCCGGATAAATTCAGATACTCCAAACTGGTCGGCAAATCGACATTCAAGAATTGATGTTCGGCGAATCTGTTGTTTGCAAGATTGAGGTGTTTGAGGCTGCGGGCACCAATCAAATCAGCGACGAAATCGCCACTCAGCCGATTCTCCGACAAATCCAAATAGACCAAACTCGACCAATCGAAAGTCGAGCTGAAGTTTACCTGAGCAATGTGGCCTTCAAACTGGTTCTTGCTCAAATCGACGACCTCCAACGGCCCTTCAAACACGCCCACAACCGAACCCTTGAACACGTTGTCCGAAATATTAAGATTCTTCAACATTTTCATCTCCGAAAAATCCGAATCACGGCCGAGAATCTTGTTCCGGGCCAAGTTTAAATACTCGAGAAGTGGGAATGCAGCGCCGAATCCATTAGGAAGAGAGCCGACGAGATTGTTATCCGACAGATCAATGGCGACCAAAGACCTGCACTGACAAATACCCAACGGTACAGCCGATTCGAAACTGTTGCCGGCGAGATTCAAAACCCGTAAACTGGTGAGGGAGCTGATTGCTTCGGGTATGCCGCCGGAGAAATTGTTGAAGGAGAGGTCTAGATTTCGGAGGCGGCCGAAATTGCCGATGTTGCTGGAAAATCCGTCGCTAATTTGGTTGTGTGAGAGGTTGAGTGTAGTGAGTGAGCCCAAACTCCAGAAATCGGAAGGCAGGGCGGAGATTTTGTTGCGGCTGAGATCTAAAGACTGAAGCTTTGTCAGTTTGCCGATGGTGGTTTCCGGGATTCCGCCGGTTAAGCCCAGATTGGAGGCGTCGAATTTGACGACGGTTTCTCCATTTTCGTCGCAAATGACACCTTTCCATGAACAGAAGGCCCCGGAAAATGCGGGGTTTGAGCTTAAATTGAAGCCCATATTTTGCAAGAACTGGAAGATGTAGGATTCATCTGTATTGGGTTTTTGGGATGACGAAGGGTTAAATAGTAGTGCTAGCAACAAAAGAGAAGCGAATATTCCATAACCCATTTCTCTGTAATAATAATTAATAATAATCAAGAAATGAATAAATGAAGAAACCCCTTTTTTATTTTAGCATCAAGAACGAGACTTTCTGCACCGCCGTTAATGATGCTTCTTCAACCATTTTCCGGCAACCCTACACCACCAGTAATTCAAGATTATTACAGTAAAAAAAAAAAAAAAAAAACCTGTGGTGGTAGTGGTGGTGGTGGTTTTCTTGAGGAATGGAGCCAGTATAGAAAACAATTCACCTGACTGATTTTGGTCTTTGTGACAAAGAAACACCAGAGAAAGAATAAAATAAATAAAAAAAATGAATTAAAAAATGGAGAAGAAATGGTGGGTTACAGTGAGTGATGAAGGTATGGGGATGTGGGGGGTTTAATGTTTTAATGTTCTTGGAATTGGGGTAATTATGAAATTAAAAAAAAAGTTTGACAGTTTGGAGTTGGGGATTCATAAATGACAAAGATATCAACCCAATTTATTTATTATTTTCTTTATTTATTTATTTTTATGTTGGGGTTGGTGAGTAATAATATTAGTGAGATGTTTGGTGCAAATTAAATGGGGGTGCTGCATTTAATTGCGCCTCTCATCATTTTTTTGGTGTCGAGATTCTGTCATAACTTCCATAATAAAATCCAAAGCATGTATATGTTTTTGGGTTTAATGATTATGGATGATGTAAAGGGGGATCAATTATATTTGGATAATATCTACTACTATATTCTATAATTAGTGAGTTCTAAAACATATAAAGATCTAGCATCCATTTATGCACCCATACAATTTTTATTATTTTTTTGCTGAAAAATAATTACTCCATGCTTTCTATTTTATTTGTCGTTTTGAGCTAATGCACACGTACTAAGAAAATTAATCTATGTGCATGGATTATTGAAAAATCATAATACGATTTTTATTAATTGCTTCACTGAGTTTTATTCACATTAGTAAGGGCAAATATGAAAAATTATAATAAATGTTTCATTGTAAATTTAAAGCAACAATTATTTTAAAATAAAAGAATTTCTCTATATATAGAATAAATGGTTCATTGTATGTACTCCATGTCGCTTTGGGGAGTTTTTCTTATTAAATATTATCTGTCACTTTAAAATTCCAATGATGCATTAATTACTATTTTCTCAACTATGCCCTTAGTAGTTATTACTCTTAATTAGTTGAGATATACTCCCTCCGTCCCAATTTAAATGTCTTTTTGGGTTGTTTTGCACATATTAAGAAAATCAATAAATGTGTATAGATTATAGTAAAAGAACATATACAATTACTAAAATATCCTTGACATTAATTGATTCTCAATTAATTAATTAAGAGTGATTAAGGGTAAAATTGAAAATAATGCAATTAATGCTTTATTGAAAATCTAAAATGACAAATAATTTGGGACAAAAAAAACTCTCTAAAAAGACATATAATACGGGACAGAGGGAGTAATTAATTACATGGTTATTTTAGTCATATTATATATATTTTCCTAAAATCCACACATATTTATTAATTTTCTTAATATGTGCGCAACAATCTAAAACAACAATTATTTTGAAACGGATGGAGTATTTCATTAAGTATAGTATTGACTAGTCATTAAATTTGATAATTACTTTTTTTTTTCTTTTATTTAATTTCTGGATATTTACACTTTAGCCATTTCGGCTAATAGTTTCTTCATATGATGATGATTAGAGTGTATATTTATTTATTTGTATATCGAAAAGTGAATATATATTTTACATTAGATTCACATTATAGTAACAATTTTATGATTCACATAAGTTGGTGTTAAATTTAAATTAGTGTTTCTCCAAGAAATATTGAATATATTATTAGATAATTTAAAAAAAAAATAGAATCCAAAAATTTTTTTAGGGCACCAATTTACCTTATTTGTTTGGGACAAAAGATGTATAAATAGAAAGTAAAGTTGACTTTGGTTGAAACATTGCTAGTGTTTTGGCAAATGGAAAGATTGCTTTTTTAATTCCTTTATAAAACCTTCCAAAAGTAGACAGAATATTTTCCCACTATTGCTATTCAGCCCCAAAGTTTATTCAAAGGCTCTTTTTTTACGGGTAATTTGCATCCACACTCCCTTTACTTTAGGTTTTTTGCAAACACACCCCAAATACTTTACTTTTTGACATGTACACTCCTTTCATCCATTTTTTCGTCAGTAGTCCGTTAATTAAAGACATAAAATTAACTTGTAAATTTATCTTGTGGGTTACGAAAGGTTTTTTTTTTTAGGGACTATTAGTGAAAACCCCCTCTAACATTATTTTAATAAGTATGGGTCCAGCTCATTTTCCTTTATTAGTGAGAAACCCATTCTTTTTATATTCTCAAATTTACCCTTCCACTATTCACTACTTATTATCCACTAGTTTGATATTTTTTTTATTTTTTATATTTTAATTTTAATTTTCGTTTTTTTATTTATTTCTTCTTTAAAAAATAATAATTTTTAAAAAAAAAAATTTTATTTTTTTTTAATATTTTTCATTAAATATTCATTTTCTATATTCTTTTAGTTTTCAGTTAAAACAACTATATGTCAATAAAACGACTATTATTAAAACGACTATTATTAAAACAATTAGTATTAAAACAATAATACATCAGTTTCACAATTTATTAAGTTAATTATATATTATATTATTTCCATTGTAAGATGAACTAATTATTTAATCAAAACATCTCCAAAACAACTATTTGTTAAAATCAACTATTTATTCAAACAATAATATTGTTGTGCAAAAACAACTATATTGCTATACGAAAACAACTATATTGAATCAACTACAAATTATTGAAATCCACAAAAGCAAAAGCCAAAAAACACACCAAAATTCCAACAAAAACGACTATTATTGAAACCAACTACAACCGTAACGAAAACAACTATAAAATTCGAAAACAACTATAATTTATCTAAATCAACTATAAAATAAAAAATGTCAATTTAAGAGAAATTATAATCAACTATAGTTGAATGCAGATCCTCAACATTACAGTCGCATATCCATCGAGAAAGGGCTATATCTCTACCGATCATGTGTTGAATCCGAAAGTTGTGAGGGTGATTTGTTCCATCGCCGCCGTCTCAACCACTCCCTAACTTCTACATGCCAATCACTCTCAGGTGAAGAAAGGACGCAAATCACTTGTGTCAACCGCCAATTACCACTCTGCCACATCAGATCGCCGCTACGGATGCCTAAAATGGGTTAAGAGAAAATTAATATAAAAAATCAACGACACTCCACAATATATTGAAAATCAACTACAAACCATATTTTTATCGAAAATCATGAATACAAATCAGAACCGAATCTGAAAATTCGATCTAAAATTGGCTACAGATAGGATGAGTTAACAGCTTTGCTCCGATGAGTTCTCGAAACATAAGTTGTCGGTGTTTTTTATTACCGGAGAGAGATTGTTGCCTATTGAATGACGGCTTCTGGTATTTGGAGAGACTCAAAAAGAGTATAGGATTAACGAGGGCACCGTCGGGCGATGATGACGGCGGTGGACGGAGGGCATCGACGGCGGTGGTGGACGGAGGGCAGCGACGGCGGTGGTGGACTGAGGGTGGCGGTGGGCATATGAGATCTGGTTTGGAGTTGGAGATAGAAACGAGAGAGAGATAGTGGCTGCTGGAGAGAAAAGGGAGATGAAGAAGAGAAATAGGGTTTGGTGATTTTATATAATAATTAAGGGTAATATAGACACACCACTTAAACTTTTAATTTATGTTAAATTAAAATATAAAATAAGGGGGTTTTCACTAATATGTAAAATGAGGTTATATCCATTCTAATATAGTCAAATGTATTGGGGGGTTTTCACTAATTATCCCTTTTTTTTAATTAGTTTCTTAATTTTACATATTCACAAATTGAAATATAAAATTTGAATTGAGTACGTATTACAAAAAATAACAGATATTAACCGAAAATTAAATTGGATAATAATAATAATAATAATAATAATAATAATAATAATAATAATAATAATAATAATAATAATAATAATAATAATAATAATAATAATAATAATAATAATAATAATAATAATAATAAATCCATTAGCTCTTAACTTGGATTAATTCTTTAATTATTTTAATAAATTCGAGACAATATTATAAGAAATCATTGAAAATGATTCTCAAATCATCCAAGATTCCCATTAAATAAAAAAAATATTCTCTCCAAACGTAACATTTCCTATGGATTTGAGAAGCTTTAATCACGTTATGGTGATTGAAGACAGCTATTTTCTTGGCTGTAATAACAATTCCGCGACGAAAATCAACCACAGTATTAAAAATATATTAATATATAATTAATTTTTATTAATACAACTAACTTCTACATTACAAAATGTAAATTCGGTGAGAACTCACTATTTATAATTTAAATACATCAATATGAACTATAATATAATAACATGATATACACATAAATTTGTTTAAATTATAATCTTAATTTACCTTGATTGGGTGTTCAATTAAAGTGGCTCCCATGGGACCGACCAATCAGAAAAATTAATTAATTTTATGGTACCAAAAGTTGTCAATATCGTATTCGTTAAGTTTTCAAACCAAGTTGATATCATGATTTGATTACACATATAAATTTGAAAATATTATACGTAAATATTCGATTGATCTACACATGCAAATGTGGGTGCGTGTATTTTGTGTGCTTATAAATGTAAAAAAATTGTACCGTTTTATCTAGTGTATTTGACTCGCTGCAGGCTGCAACATAGTATCCATGGAAACAAATTCAAAAGCCTTTACTTAAGAGAGTTATATCAATAGAGTTTTAGAAAGATTTTGTATGAAAGACTATTTACCTAAAGTATAGTTCCTAATTATTAAGTTTGAAAAATATCAATTTAGACCAATTCACTATATCTGTCACCTCATTCTTTAAAAAAAAAATTATAACAAATCATTTCACTCAAAGACTGAATAAAGGGTTGATAACTTAGTTTGTGGAATAAGAAAGCATATAGTCAAACGATCTAGTGTGAATATATACACTAATTAGTGATTGATTGATTTATATAACTATCAATTGGCATTGAAAAAAAACATCAAACTATACCAATTAATGCCATCATACATGTCATTTTCAATTATCATGAACACATAAAAAACATATACATGATTCATGAAATATCTTTACATTGAGTAGAAGCAAAGAATTTACTCGGTTTACATCGTCTCCCAAAAAGACATTTTCTAATAAAATGTTGATGTTTAGTAGTACATTTGAACATATTATGTACTAAGACAATGCCAATAATTGTAGTTGCCATTTGAATGAAAGGATTTAGAGCTAGACGCGATGAACTGCAACTTTTGAATACTCTTTTCGTTTTTTAAATACATGTCTGTTTTTACCTTTGCACAAATATTAAGACACTCAACAAATGTAGTTTGATTTTAGGAAAAACGTGTTAAAAGACTAAAATTAGCATTTATCATTTAATGATTTATAAGAGAGAACTTAGGGTTGAATTAATAGAGTTAAAACAGGAAAAATACATTGAACGTATGATACTGAACAAAAATATTTTTAAAAAGTGATAGTTATTGTGGAGCAGATGAAATAATATACTAATAATAAATTTGAATCTTTAATTCTCAATTTCAATTATTTGCCGAGTTATTA